GAATCATATGATGATGACGCCTCAGATCAGGAAACATTTTTTCAATCATCGGTTGTCGTTGCCTCCTCGTTGACTGGAGTGGTACACTGGGTGGTCTTCAGGTGTTGCAGCCATTCTGTTTTAAGGATCAATGCATTGTGTATGCTCTTTGGCATACAGTCCTGTCAGCTCAATGCATGCTAGCCATTCTCCTCTGGCATCAATGAGGCGTTTTTGCACAGAGAACTACTGCTTACTATTATTTTCTTGAGATGATTATGCAGGAAAGTCTCAGCAGATCTAAAGTTCTTTTCACCAACAACCATGGCACATTCAGAGTCACTAATTTGCCTTTGTTCCACGTTCTGATGCTGGATTTGAACTTGAGCAGGTTCTGTTTTCCATGTCTACATGTTTAAAAGCATTGATGTGCTGCAGTGTAATCGACTGATTAGATATTTGTATTAACAAACAGGCCTTGATCCATGTGATGTAATAACATTTTCTCTCGTTTTGTTTAAGCTTTTTCTATCTGCTGTAAAAAGTCATGAGAAAGTTGTGGCTTAATTATCTAATTGGTTAGTCAACTAATACTGTTACTGCTTCCTTTCTGATTGTGAAATTAGCTTTTGTCAATTAAAAATAAATTACACAAGGCGATTTATTCTTAATGATATACTGAGATGGGTTTTTAATGCACCAACCCTGGCTCTTTGCTCTCTAATTTGCTCGTCTGTGTTTGGCTTCTGTGGATGTTAGTTTACACTAGATCCCCATTAGTGTCAGAAATGCTGGGTGATGCCCAGTTACTGTTTGAGCTGGTTAGACAGAAGGGAGCAGTCGTGTCTTCTCTTTTTGTCACAAGTTAAGGTGGTATTTGCTTGTGCTTGTTTGTGCATTGTGATTTTTCAGCGCATAGTTGTTTCCCGTGTGATTCACACTCTCATCTCCCAGGAATCCCTGATTGTGCGTCCCTTCAGTTCGCTGCCGTTGCCAGAACCTCATCTCATGGATTTACTTCAGTTTGGACTTTGAACTATGTAATTCACTCTTCCAGCTTCATTGTCTCAAGGGAGCCAGAGACTGTGCTGCTCAGTTGACTCACTGAAACTGCAGGTATATCGACTTTCTTATTCAAACCAGAGTTTGTGAATTAAACCTTTGAACTGTCCTGTGAATATCATGACAACAGCAGTCACTGCTGACTACACATCTAACACCCTCACATACACACCTAACCTTTGTTTTCAAATGTCTAGAAAAGAGTGTCCTGTTGCAATCAGTCCTAAATCCTTAACAGATCATTTAGCATGCATTTACACTATCAATATGTTTGTGTTTTCTGGGTAAATGTATAAATGGTTTGTATTTTACTGATTTCAATTCTGGATATGTAACCAGCTGTGTATTTCCTAAAACTAAAATAGAAAATTGGACTTACTAGAATGGGATTT